ACGCTCATTTTCATATTTCTATATTATCTTATCTTGCGAGGTACATCGAAGCCTAATGATTGAGGATCGAGCGACATCATTTTCTTATAAGCTTTTAAGTAGCAGCGCCACAACCAGGTACATCGGGTCTTGCACGATCAAGAATCAACGGACAATTTGCTTGCTTGGAGCTTTTAAGTGGCAGCGCCAGAGTCAGGTATAATTTCTACAACTTGTAAACTCTTAATTACATATCGAAACTGTTATACATCACACATATCTTGTTAATAGGTATTCTAGCATATTTAGATAGTTAGCCATAGGTTAGTGCACTAATGAAGCTTTGGCCCTATAGGTTAAAGCTTCCCCCCCTTTAGTGAGCCCTAGAGACCCTTATGGTCACCTTAGGCCTGTAGAGTAGGCCCACCCATTTGTACCATTGGACATCATTATTTTCCCACACGAAGTGAGCATCGATAGGATTTTTGACCTTTTCTGGTTTTGGGTTTGATACCCCCCCCCACCTTCTGTGAGCCCTAGAGATAATCAGGATCATTTAGGCTTGTAGAGTATGCCACTTATTGTTCTATGGGCATCATTATTTTCCCACACGAAGTGGGCACCGTTAGGATGATTTTTCTATTGTGATGTAATACGGATACCTTGCCTGGAGGATATCTGGTGTGTTTATTTATTTTTTCTGTACTCTGGATGTCATGCATGCATTTGTTTTTACACACCTTACTTCACACTACACTTCACTTACATGCATGCATTACATCAGTAGACCTAGGGATATTTTGTATCTATTTTATGTATCATATATGGCGATAGGTACATGCTTTGCATATTATAGAGTCACTGATTGAAACCTTTTAAACTACACATCCTTGATTTCTTAGGATAGAGCTTTCCTATCTTGTATACATATAGAGCGATTGATTGTGTTTAGGATGTTAGTTGACAGCTCACTCCAGGCAAATATAAACCCAAATTGTACACCCCTCAGTTTGTCTGTTACTCATTGTGTGTCTTGAGTCTCTCATTTCTCTTAGAGTAGTAATCTGATCTTCAATCTTTTACTCAAAATCTTAATCACATCTTTATTCATTTAAAAAGTCTAATCATCACTAACGGTAAGGAGAAGAGTTTATCTTCTTCAGAGTAGAATCTAGGAACTTTCTCTGCGCACTAAATTAAGAAGAGAATAATACAACACCCTTAATCGAGAGTTTTTCTAAGTTAAGTCTTAGGATATAATTAAATACGGGGGCTTGCGCCCGTAGGAAATCGATCCTCATATCAAATAAACCTCATTCGAGCTGATGTATCAAGTGGGGGAAATCTCGTGAAATTTTGAGTTATATATATTTTTATCCATCGAGGTGTGTAGATGAAAGCCGCTATCCTCCATGGCTAATCGTATGTATAACTCCATTCGCTCTTCCATCGTCCTGCTTGTGTCGATTTTAAAGGCATACGACCGTTTTGTCCTATGGGATAGTGTGGTCGTACCCTTTGCATTCGAACCCTAAGAGCAGAATCCTTTCGGAGACCCACAAGGTAAAAGAGAGATGGCACGTACCAATGTCCAATTTACACATGCATAACTCCAAACGTAATCTCTTAGTTTTCTTCTGCTACGTCAAAACTCTCACAGCCACTAAAATCACATTAATTCATGGACATATTTTTTCTTATGGGTATTTTTAGCAAAAATTCTTTATTGTTATTTATTTTTTTTATATTAAAAATGCTTATCAAGGATAATTGTATTATCCCATTTTTTTTTAAAGAATTTGAAATTCACTTAAAATTTCATTTGGGATATTTTTTTTTATACATTAAATTTCAATGAATTATACATTAAATTTCAATGCATTTAAAATACATTAAAAAAATATAAAACAAATATCATCCACATTCTTATTGATTTTTGAAACATTTTTTTTGTACAAAAATTTTTAATTCAAAAATTTGTTGCACTAAAAATTTGCTTTAGAAAGCAACAAAAGGTTATCCCAATTCCCAAACGATATTAAATAATGTGTACGCATTTTAAAAACACTTTTACCAAATAAATCATAAAAAAAGTTGAATTCAATTTATATAAAAACGACCTCTAATAAAACATTTTTATTAATATACTTTGACAAAAAAAAATTGAACAAAAAGAATATCAAATTTATTTTAAAATATGCACAATGTAACTAAAATATATTTAAATTTATATTATGCTGATTTTAAAATAAATTCAATTTCTTTAGCATTCAGGGCAACAAAAAATTTAACCGAAATGCCCTCAACCAATTTTTATTTACATCTGCAAAGTCATCTTATATTTCGTTAAAACATTCTGCAATTTATACAATTTTTTTTTTGTATTCTAATGCAATTTATATTAAAATTATATCGATACAATATTTTTCCGAACATGGAGGCCAATAGTAATCTTCGTGACCCATCAGAGCATCTTCCCCCTTCATAAATATCCAAAACATTCATATTCACTTTAGCCATCAAACAATCTTAAAATTGCTATCCTCCCCCCAACTCACTCAACCAATTAAAAACCCCTTAGATTTCTCATTCCTATCAAAGAAACACATAGCCACCATGGCAACCAACACATCTGCCTCCCTTCTCTTCCTCCTCATCTCCCTCTTCTTCTGCCGCCGCCGCAACTGCTGCCGCCTTGCCACAGAAGCCGAAGTCTACACCGATCATAATTTTTCCTCCCAAAGGGCCTCCGGCGAACCCATTTTGCCCGCGCGACGTGGTCAAGCTATCATCTTGCATCGAGCTTCTTAGAGTGGTTGATGTGGTGGCTAGTGTCTGACTTTCGATAAAATGCTGCTCTTTGATCGACGGGTTGGCGGCCGGCGAGGCCGCTGCTTGCATTTGCACGGCGATAAAGGAGAATGCGCTTGGTATTAGTGTGGAATGGGATGTGGGCTTGAGCATTGTGGTTAGTTCATGCAAGAAGGAGGTCCCTGATGGCTTCAAGTGTGTAAGGCTACAGAAATGATTATGATGTTCTTAGAGAGAACACAAGATAAATGCTTCGTTTGAGACAATTTTTTTATTATTTTTTTAAAGCGGAGTTTTAAAATTTTTGCACTAAAATTCTGTTTTAAGAAACAATAAAAAAATCGTCATAAATGAAGTTGGAGTCGGTCCTACGAAAGTAGGGGAGGTTGAAGCTTCTTTGAGATAGCTTTCAACAACTATATTTTTGCTATTTTCCCAAACAAAAAAAAGTTAGAAAGCTATTGTAGAAAGCAGTAATGAAATTGTCTCAAATAAAATTTGAATGTACTTATTATGCAAAAATGAGATCTTATTCTGATCAATATCTAAGGTTTTATTTGAGACAATTTTTTATTGCTTTTAACTTTTCAATACAAGAATTTCTCGTTCAAAAAATTTTGGTGTTAGAAAGCTGCTTCAAAAAACACAGTTATAAAGCTCTACAAAATGAAGCATTCTTACTGTTTTTTAAAGCAGTTTTTTAATACAAAAAATTTTAAACTAAAATTTTTTTACTATAACGATGTTTTAAAAAATAATAAAAAAACTGTCACAAAAGAAAGCCTAAGTAATGATAAAATATTTATGTGAATTAAATTTTATATAGTTTTATGTAAATAATATAATATTAAATTTATTTCCGAAGAGAGAATCCCGTACGCCAAACAAACATCGCCAATCGCAACCGTTTCCCTAATTTCCTACCGATCTAACGCCGTTCCCTGCCGGTAGGCACCGTAACGTCGTTTAAATGAGCAAGCAGTCCTCAGCCGTCAGATCGAATGAAATCACGCCATGGCAAAACGGTCATTTCTTCTCTATCCACTTCATAATTGACCGGTAAGAACTAAGAAGCTGATCAAGAAGACTTCAAAAATTAGGTAATATGGAGTTTTTAATATTTATTTTCATTTACCAAAAATTACTCACTTAATATTTTTAAAAAGAATATTTAGTTATTTTTTTATTGAAGAACACATTAATAAAGAATTTTTTTCTTATAATATACTTATTAAATTTTTAATCATGATGAGATTCACAACCATTAAAACTACTTTAGGATGCGTGCAATGCACATAGATTTTATATTGCACTTATTTCAAAATAAATTTATAGGCTATTATCATTCGGAATAAAATTTGATGAGGATAATTTATTTTCATTAATAAATAATGTTTAGTTAGTGCGGATTTTACAAATCACGCATAATTTTTCACATTAAATTTCTAATGTGTAAACTTTGATATATACTTTTATATTTATTTATTTGATGGTGAAATAGATGGAGATATTATTAATAGAATTCAATTTGAGCAATGCATTGGGCTCGTTGTGCGGTATAAAAGTATCTCTCGAACTTAAGGAGAAGTTTTATATGACGGTAGTGAGACCTGTAATGCTTTATGGTGCAAAATGTTGGACATTAAAAAAAAGCATAAATTTTAGTTAAGTGTTTTAGAGATAATGATGCTCAGTTGGATAAGTGACTTTACTCTTAGAGATATAATGCAAAATGAGTATATGTGTGACGTGGTTGAAGTAGCTCTAGTGACAGATAAGATTAGGGAGAGTCGTCTTAGATGATTTGGTCACATAAAATGCCGGCCACTAATGACCTGATTAGAAGAGTAGTTGTATTAAATTTGGCCTATGTTGAGAAAGGTAACAGTAGACCCAAAAAGACTTTATTAGAAAGTATTTTATTAGATTTGAATAAAAATTCAACTGTTTATAAAATATAATAGAGAGAAATGATTCATATTGCTGGTCCTAAGTAGCGAGATAAATGTTTGATATTGTTTTTGTTAGTTAGAGATAAAAAATTAATTATTTCTTTGAGAAATTTAGAAATTTTTATTAAAATAAAAATCATATTAATTTCTAATTATATTCAAATATATAATAGAGTTTAGCAAATTCACTATTTTTAGAAATATATTTTATAACGTATTGAAATCAAATGGCTCTAATAATACTTATTAATTTTATAGGAATTTCCATAAAAATACGATTTTTTGGCCGAAAAAGGGGCGGCCCTCAACTCCCCGTTTTCCCCTCCACTGCTGCTGCTTACACCTCCAACGGCCATCGCTGACTACTCAAGAAGCCGCGAAGAAGAGGAGGAAGAAGAAGAAAGCCCAGTAGCCCCCGATCATGGAAGAGGAGGCGGAGGTAGTATTCTGATTTCTTTCTCTATTTCACCATTCCGATCTTCTAATTGTTTCCCTAGTAGAAAATGGCGGCTCTGAAGAAGGCCTATGCGGACATCATCCTCAATACTGCAAAGGAATCGGCGGCCCGAGTTCTGGCAGCGGAGCGCAAGGCGCTTGGTTTCCAGCAACGCCTGTTCGCTGCCAAGGAAGAAGCACTCGCTACCATGCTCCGGTTAAAGGCCATCATGGAGGATAAGGTAATGAATGCTATTTTGCAATTTGTATTTGATGGCTTTATGGGAGATAGGCGTGTGGGGAGGGTTGTGAAAGGTTCAATGGTGGGGAAAAGGTGCTCTTTTTCTTTCGAGTTTGATGTTTTTTGGGCACGGATTTGAAATGGAGATCATTCGAAGTATTTGATTGGTTGATATGTTTGAGAATGAATGGAGGATGGTGAAATATTGCTGTAAACTTTTTAGGCTGTGTATGTTTTAACTTTTAAATGCCCTACTTATGAACAGAAATTTCTTTTGTTCAAGTTCTGGTCTATTGATAGTAGTGCGATTCTGAAGAGTTTAGTGATGGATTTTTAATGTTACTGAGAAGTGATCGTAGTTTTTCATCGCCATATTAAGCATGAGTGGCATTGCTGGAATGAAGGTGATTAGGAAGATTGGCTTGATTGTCTGCACGCTAAAGTTGAATGGGAAATGATTCTATTAAACAAGTGTTCCTAATTAGTGCTTCTCACGTTGTTTTGTCTTGCTTGTATTCCTGGAATATGTGTTTGATGGTGCTATACTGCTATGGAGTGAGGGAGCGCATAATAGGATAGGGAAGGTTTAATGGGGTGATAAAAGATGCTGTTTTTCCTTTGGATTAGATGGCTTGCGGGAAAGACATTGAGGTGGAGAACATTTGAAATTTTTGGTTTATTTGGATATGTTTGAGAGTGAAGGGAAGGTAGTGAGATATGCTGCCACTTTTGGAGCAGCGTCTGTTTTAAATGTCCTACTTATAAACAGACATTTCTTATATTCCCTTTCATGTCCATTGATGCAGTACAATAGGACGATTTGGAATAGTTCAGTGATGGCTTTTTAAGGTTATTGAGAAGAGATAATGAGGTTTGCATTGCCATAAAAAGCATGAGTGGCAATGTTGGAACGCTGATGATTAGGAAGATTGATTAGGTTGTATGTACATTGAAGTTGAAATTGTTTTTTATTTTCATTGAATAAGTGTTCTTAATTAACTCCTTGGTCTATATAGGATATTTTTGAGTGAAGTGAAGTGGGAAGTATACTACATTTTGCCTCTTTGATCTGCGTCCAAGTGGCTCATGCTTTTTTAGTTGGGAACTAATTTGGGAAGAGCATGTAGTAAACCTTACTGATGTTTATTTATTATTTCGATTTTGTGAGGGATTAATTTGCTTTTAGTTTTGTCTTTACGAGCATTCTAAATTGTATGCATTTGGTGTCATGAGCATATCTGTGTTATGTTGGTTTCATTTCCTGTTTTGATGGATTGCTCAGACATTTATGCTTTTGTTTCCTTATTGGTTAAGAAATATGATTGATCAGCACATACATAATCTAAATTTTCATCATTATCACTATTGCTCTTTTCTATCTCTACATATCTATAATCAACCTTGTCATCCTATTCTGATTTTATGTCAATCGTCTCGGTTAAGTCACCAAATAATTGTGAAGAGTTTGAATTTTCAAGCAATTCAGTTGGCAATGCTCCTTGATAATAAAAAAAATATTCACAATATTTTGGGCATCAAATATTTCATTTTAAGAATTTCTGACATAAAAGTAATACACGATAAATTCATTTAATTTAAGTTGAAACTTCAAAAATAAATTCATTGTTTGAAAATGAGGCAAAATATATATACTATAACTATGATAAAAAGTTTTATATTATTTGACACTCACTTTGATATCAGAGACATTTATTCTCTTGTGAGTTTTTTATTATATATTCATATCATCAAACTTCGAATTGAGCTCCCAACATTAACTAGGCCAGAGGTATAGTAGTACTCATTACCATAATAACTCACTGTGCTTATGCAATGACCTAATTCAGAATTGACTTGAATTGTGTGTTTTTCATTTTCTACTAAATTGAGTTCACACATATGCATATTTGATCATTTTGATGCTCCCGTATGCTTATTGTAGCCAAATTGCAAGTGCTTTACTCGCTTGACGACCATACATATGATATAGGATTGTACATTCAAATTTATTATCATGCTTAAGATTAAATTGACAACATATTGGACAATCTGTAGAATTGTTGTACAACACGATGATGTGAATTTTCAATTCTGCATTTTGGAGTCATATGGTTTGCTGTTTTGTTAGTGATTTTTTCTAGTGTGTTTTTATTCAATGTAGTATTTTATGCATCATGTTTCATAAATTTAGGAGCATCGTGTATCTAGTTGTTGGTTTTTTAGTGTAACTTGAGTTTTTGCTAAAAGATCAAATTGGTACATGAATTTTTGTTGTCAGCCTATTCTTTCAAACACATTTTTGCTTTTATATACTCCCACAGACCATTGTAGAGAAAAAGAGAGGGAGCGAGAGAGCGAGAAGTCATGATTAGAAAGCCTTGGGTTTATGATAGGAAATTGTTCTTCTAATGCAGTTTTCAATATTTTGTCTCTCAGATGATCTCTCTCATAGGAATACATGATGTATTCTATGATTTGAGTTTCCATACTTTACATTGAATAATATGGTAGTATGAAGCTCTTTATGTTTGTGGAGTCCTACGTTATCTAACTTAATGAAACTATGTCCAGGATTTGATATGATAATGTTGACCTTGCTAAATTTTTTTATCCTCTTAAGCGGCACACAATAACTAACATACGCAACATGTATCATGTTGAACACCTGGAGATTTTGATATATATAGGTTTCCGCTTGTTTTGTGATGTTTGTTCTTATGTTATGCACATTAGATGATCATACGAGTAATCCTACATGATATATATTATATTCAATAATCTATGTATTTGAGAATGCTAATATTTGATTATTATCCTCTTTTTTCCACACATAAATTTTCACATAATTAATCCTACATATTTTCTATTGATATTGCATATTTTATATACACAATCTTCTTTAATTATTGTATTTACAAAAGCCTTCTAATGTTGCATATAGTGTTAACATGCTTTTGATAAATGCATTTCATTTAACATGTTGTGATGTATGATTCTCCATGTCCGTGTTTATTTATCTCTTCCATGTAGTTTTTTAAGCAATCTATGAATTTATATGAGAGTCTCCATGATCATAAGTTGATGATGTATTATATAAATGATCTCGCATACAGGCTATGGCCTCATGCATGACCTAGTGTGACAATATAACTTGTTGTTTGACTTATGTTCTGTTTGGTATAGCCAATATTCTATTATGTATTCTTATTTGTAGCATTCATAAACATAAATGAGTGATAGTATGTTCACATATCTAAATATCCATAATCATGGGGAGTGATTGTATATTACATGATTCTTGTAACTTCATGATGTGAGAAATACGTGTATGTTTTGCAAACTAGTGATTTATGCTATCATATGGTCATTTGTTCATCTGATCCATAATATAACATGCAAAGAGCGCGGTGAATGTTCCTATATTTCATTGTGTTCTTTATTCACCCTACTCCATCTATAGTTAGTAATATTATTTTTTGGTTATTATTATTTGTTATGTCATAAAGTAACATTTGGTTATTATTATTTGCTATGTCATAAAGTAACATCTGATAAGTTGCGAGAATATAAACTGTATTGTATTAATGTGGTCCATTTATCCATGCAAGGGCAGATTTAATAGTCCTTAGCTTTGTTGGGTCTTTATGCCCCTATGCAAGAGGTTGGCAACATGCTTATCTTTAAACATCAGGTTTATGGTTATGGTTTTATGGGAGGTGTAAAGTTTATTTGCTTCTTAATCTTCCAACAGGCTTTAGATGATAACATTGATATATATTGCCACCTGAGATATATTTCTATTAAATATATGAAAAGAAAAGTACATTCTGAAGAGACTTTGGTTATCTAGCTAGGAAAATACCTTAAGTACTTGAATATTGAATGGTTGAGTAATTATTTATGTGCTATAATTTTGGATTTCTGATGTTTGTACTGTTCATTATTTATCTGTGATGTATTCTGGACTACATTTCATAATATGGCATATGAAGTATTCTTTTGTCATCAGATGTGTTTCATTATACACGCTTAATTTGTTCTGCTAATGTCATATAGTTTATGTATAGGTTTTTTAAGTATCCAGCATATTCTTATTTCTAACATTAAATGCTGAATTGGATCCGATGACCATGTTTTGTGCTTATGCCTTCATTCTAAAATGATTTGGTTATAATTTAGTCTAGAACTATTATTTTTCTATTAGAATGCATATTCTCATTTAAGGATGCAAGACTTTACCAGCATACATGAACATGTCCATTGGATTGCCATAGCATGCCTATGATATTATTTGACTTAACATCCAAACGATTGATTTATATATGATTTGGAGATTTATGATCTTCAGATAGTGGTTGTATTTATGACTTAACGTTCATGTTTATCAATATGCTGTAATTCAATGTCTTGGCTTACATTACATCACTTACTCTCACGCCTGCAATCATGGGGCCTATAGCATCATGATTATATGATTCAGAGTAATTGATTATGAATACATGAACTAGGGTCATAGGCATGATATGATAATGGCATAACCCTTATGCGAGTTGCTTCTCTTACCTTGACCTTGCATTGCATCCTCTTGTATGACCTATTGGTGTTTGATATGAAACACTTGAAGATTTCTAGTAAATCCTATCAATTTCAAACAAAACAGCAAAAAAACTCTTTCAAACTCAAATGAAAACCGGAAAAACAGTAGTTTTATTGCAATAATTAAACTAATGGAAGAAAAATACCAAGATACAATTGATCCTCTATTCGAGAGGAGGATCTATCTCTTCCAAATCTCTAGACGCCGCTAGAGCCCAAAAGAAACCTAAGAGCTCAAATTTCAACCAAATTCAATATGTCATAACCCTAGGAAAACAGACTATTTAATGCATACAATCTAAAAGGAAATCTCTAAACAGTCCCTATATTCAAATTTCCCTCCTAACTCCCTCAAAAAATCTTCCTAAGTCCCGACGGTGCGTTCGACGTGTACATGAAAGGTGG